GACTATCTGTGCTTGCTAATTGGCTCTTTTAAAGTTAGGTTCCTACACTTCCCACAGAGATTGGAAATTAGGGGACTTATATTTCTTGAAGATTTCATTTTAAAGAAATGGCACTTAGGTCCTGAAAAAAAACATTCCTGAGTTGTAAATGTATTAAGTTACTAACAGAAATTTTACATATGAAAGAAGCAGAGAAAGAATTCACAATTCCAAGTTTCTTAAACTAAATTTTTTCAGAAAAGGGAGGTCAGGGATTTATAGTTAAAAAGAAACCTACCTAAAGTTTAGTTAAGCTAAAGGGAATATTAAGGCCATCTTGGAACATTATTTTAGAAAGGCATAATCTATGGGAGTCAAAAGAAGTAACACTTGAGAAACTTTATAAGTGCAATGAAAAGTAATTGTCTGCTAGTTAGATATAAGAGTAAAATGGCAAATGGCAATGAAAAGGTAAACACAACTAATGTTCTCAAGGATACAGCTTTAATAAAGATGAAATTGGTAGAAATAATAATCTATTGGTACAAATTGAGAGCCAATTGGATGGAATTTCTAATAAGAAATAATTACTTACTGATTCTAGTTATTACATAGTCACAGATTAACAAACTTACAACATTTATTAGATATAGTTCTCTCTAGGGATTGAGAAATATCCATTACTTCCACTTGTTACGCCCACAGTGGAGTCCAGAGTTTATGCTCGCCCTGCTCTGCCCTCTCACACTTTATTCCTATGAGATTTTCAAAAACATACTTTGTGTTCAAGTAATAGAAGAATATGTCACTAAACCATTGAAGTGAATGAATTAGAACCTATTTTTCTCTTCCTCATTGTAAAGGGGGAGAGTAGAGATAAAAAAAAAAGACAGTAGATAATATTTACTCACCAATCATTGTGGTGTTTTCATGTCTTTTATCTGTTAATTCTCACAAAACCATGAGATATGAGGAAGATATTATTACTCAATTTTTCAAATAAAACTATGTTTACAAAGTAATATATCAATTGCAGAGCTGACCTGAAATGCAAAAATATAAACACTGTCTGCTTAACAAGGTGTTGAAAATAGGTAGACTTACAGTGAGCAGGAAAATTGAGGTATGAGTGAAATGACAAGTTTTGCAGATCTAGTAGTTTTTTTGTGAGGTCTGTCTAGACTCAAAGCCCCTTGTTCTACTAAAGAGTCAATTTATAGGTGGTCTCCTTCTTAAACATCCAATATTTGCAGAGCTATTCAGATTTAACTGATGGTATTTTCTTCAAGGATCAACTATTTTACTGTCTTTTCAAATTTTAACTTTAGAAAGACTATGATTTTATTGGAAGCAGTGTTAAATTTTGATGCAATTGTTTGTAATGATGTAACTTGGTCGCCCTCTGGAGGCTATTCTCATGTTTCACTAAGATTTTTGAGAAAAAGGAAAGTTTTAACAATGTTACAACTCATTTTAAATGTGTGGAAATTATGTACATTTGTTATACCTTTTAAAAATTTTCAAAATCATGGGGTTAAAATGCTCAAATAATTACAAAAGGTTGAATTTAACATTTAATAACATAACATGCTTTGTATTCCTGTTATCCCTTTGGAAACGGGGATGATCATCATTCCTCTTTTATCATGAAAGATCTCCCTGCATAATCTATAATAATCATCTGCTTCGCATTGATATTTATTGCTGTATTGCTGACTATTACCTGAAAGAGAAGTTGGGGTGCTTTACTGGGCTGGAAAGTTTAGCTACATAGAAAGCAGGCCTAATTAAGCAAGTTTATTCTATATCTGTAAAAGGCTAAGTTGACTTGTGCATGCGTGATACATATAAAGCTCTCGCTGGAGCCAATCACACATGGTGTTTTGATCTGTCACTGTAGATTGTGAATTTGATTGACAATTCTATTATAGAAAAAGGGCAAATAGCAATATTAAAATATTTCTTCCAATTAATTTCCTTTCAATGTACACATATCCGTGCACTGGGATACTAGTTATTAAGAATGAACTACAATGTTTGCTAATGACTGATTACTATAACCATGTTGCATTCATTTACCTTATGTACCTTACACGCAGGCACACCATTTCTCTCCAATAATACTAGCAGTGAATATTTTAGCAGCCAATTGCCACATCATTAGTTTTGTACTGATTTATTTAGTGTGTGCAATAGAAAATTTTTTGCTCTCAGAGAACAAGAAAAATAGGTTTATTTGTATTACACTTATTAATTTGTGCAGTTATTCAGTGTCTGGTAAATTAATGATTAAGAAAAATATTTTTATTAAAATTAAGTGTAATACAAATAAATCTATTTTTCTTGTTCTCTGAGAGTGAAATATTTCCTATTGCACACACTAAATAAGCCAGTACAAGATTAATGATATTAAGTGGATGATATGTGTAGGTAGAAGAGTCACCCAAATCAAGACACATTCTGAAAGGAAGATTTTTTTAAAAATACTAGGAATCTAGTGAAGTATTTAATAAAACAAGGAGAGTGGCAAGGAGATTGTAGGTGACAGTGACCAGGAGAAAACATGGTATAATGAAATGATATAATCAGCAATAAAACAGGAATTTGTTGCTGTTTTTTGTTTGTTTGTTTAAAAGACGGAAGAGTGAAATGATAGAAAATAGCAATGAAGAGCAAAGTGCATGCAACCCTGTCAATTGAATTATAGATGTATAAGAAAATAAACACCACTTTAGAGTACTCTGGGGAAAGTGATCTCAGGGAAGAACTAGGATTCAGTTAGGAAAATGAATGCACTGCTCACATGTAGTCTGAGTAGTTTTTATACAATAATTTGCTAAATCTGGAGCAAGAGCCATGTACAGGGGTCCTAGTAAAAAAAATTGGGAAAGAGTGCAGTTGCTTTAGTCATGGGCAAAGCAGTAGAGAGCATCACAGGGGATGAAAAATATAGGAGCCTTGGGGATGAGAGGGATTACCTGGTTTGGGTAATTTTGGTACCAGAAGCTTTTTTTTTTTTTTTTTTTTTTTTTTTTTTTTAATGTGAGGAACACGAAAAGTTAGATGTTTAAATCTTAAATATATTTTTCCTTTTCTTTATTGTCGATCTGCAAGGAAACAAAGAGAAGTTTAACAATACATTAATAGAAATCTTATCAGAAGAGGTAGACAGTCTGTGTGCTCCTGGCTCTTCCTAGATTCAATTCTTATTTGGAACTCATGAATGATCATGCATCTCTAAAATAGGAAAAGCAACCATTTTCTCAGGATTGATAAATTTTTGTTAAGACTATTTCTATTATATAATGACTTGCCTTGCTTCCTAATGCTAAATCTTGCTGGGATTCATCCCTGCTCTGGATTCTAGGCCCATTTCTTTCCCAAGAAAGGAGAATCTTAGGCCAGTAAATTTTGTACCTCATGAGTTAGCCTTCCTGCTTATTGGTCCTGCTCTTAAATCAGACCATAATTCTAATTACTGGGCCTGATGAATTGTTCCCTTGACTTGCTTCCTGGTACCCTATTTCCTCTTGCTTTTTTCCTCTTCCAAGAATTTTAGAGATTGGAGTCTTATCTCTGAAACAGAGTTACTGTGGCTGATTTGAACCCCCACCCTCAGCACCTTCTTCTTGCTTGAATCCATCTTAGTTTTATTTGCCCAACTAATGGTTTATTCTGCTTTCCATATCCTACCTCTGGTGTAATTAGGCTTGCTACTATATGAATATATTTATTTAAAAGAATTAAAGGGACAGGAAAGAAGATAGGATGGGTAATGCTTCCTAACTTCTATTTATTGTTTTTTTCTAATGACAAGATTTGTAGAAATTTTTTGGAGTCATACACGCTACCTTCGCATCATGTAAAAGCTTTTGGCAGACCCAAGGGTCGAAGCACCAGGAAACCACACTAGATGCCGGAAAGCAGGGTCTGGGGAACTGTGTGCTGCTGACATAGTAAACCGGAAGTCCTGCTTCAGGGGAGCGCCCCCTCCCAGCTTCCAGGACAGGACCAGGTAGACCATAATGCCATAGCAACAGTAAACCGGAAGTCCTGCTTCAGGGGGTCCCACTTCCTGCTTCCAGGACAGGGCCAGGTGGACCATATTGCCATAGCAACAGTAAACCGGAAGTCCTGCTTCGGGGGAGCCCCCCTTCCTTCTTCTAGGACAGGGCCAGGTGGACCATATTGCCAAATTAATAGTAAAACGGAAGTCCTGTTTCGGGGGAGCCCTCCTTCCTGCTTCCAGGACAGGGCCGAGTGGACCAGGGAATGTGCACTGCGCCCCAGCAGTCGTAAACCGGAAGTCGTGCTTTAGCAGTGCTTCCGGGGCAAGGCTGAAACGGTTGTTCCAGAGCCTTCGTCCTGAGTTGGTGGCCCTGAAGGGGCGCTCCTGGACTGTCTCTGTCTTGGCTACCCGAAGCCAAGAAGTCATCCTCACCTGGTGAGTGGGAGAGGGGAATTTGATGGGAATTTCGCTCTCCCCACACCAGAGAGCCGCCTGTCCGTCCTGCCGAAACCTTTAAGTCTCTCATTCCTGTGGAAACCTTTACGTCTCTGTCCTGCCGAAACCTTTACGTCTGTCCCTCCTGCCGAAACCATTACGTCTCTCTATCCTGCCAAAACTGTTACGTCTCTCCGTCCTGCCAAAACTGTTACGTCTCTCCATCCTGCCAAAATTGTTACGTCTCTCCGTCCTGCGGAAACCCTTACGTGTCTCCATCCTGCCAAAACCGTAACGTTACTATCTTGGATCAACGGCCGAGGTCTCCTCACTGAACCGTTAATTTTCTTACCGGAAGTTTGTCCTAAACTCGGACTGATACACCGCTTTACATGGTACTTCTGTTTACCTGGCCTGCAGAATCCCTCTTGCTTTAAGACGAGTCTTTGAATTCTGATACGCTGTTGGACATATTTAAACACAAAACTTTTCATTGTCTTGCTCCATAATTGGGCTGGAAATACTATTCTTTCTCTTCTGGGTGCTGCTGTTGACTATATCTAATTAGCACATTAAAATGGCGACTCCTGAAGAGGCCATACCTCCTTTGTCTGAATACCAGTGCAAGGTCTGCTTAGAAATCTTGATCGAGCCTGTCACACTACCTTGCAATCACACACTCTGTAAGCCATGCCTTCAATCCCTCTTAGAAACGTCAAATGCATGCTGTCCCTTCTGCCGCTTTGGGATCTCTGGATGGGCCTGGCTCAGTACCCAAAGAAATACCCTTGTCAATATGGAATTGTGGGATAAAATTAAAAAACACTATCCAGAAGAATGTACTCTGAGAGTCTCTTGCCAAGAATCACAAGGAAGCTATAATGACCCTCAGCCAGTTCGTCTGATAAGTGAACCTGGAGAATTGAGAAGAGAATATGAAGAGGAGAAACGCAAGATGGAGGCATTGAAACGAGCCGAGGCAGAAGAAGAAAACAAAGCCAGTGAAGAATACATACAGCAGTTATTGGCAGAGGAGGCAGAACAAAGGAAAAGAGAGATAGAAAGACAACTGAAAAGTGATAGAGAGCTAGCAAGGAAGATAAGCTTTGATATCAATTTTGATGAGGAAACTGGCTGGGCTTCTACCATGTATGCCCCAACATCTAATCGAGTTACAACCAGGTCACAAACGAAAAGAATGAATCAACAAACAAACACTGGCGATATTGAGGAATATCTATCACCTCTATCTCAGCATGGGCCAGTATCACTATCAGAAGTTGTGCAAGAAGGCAAGAAAATCTCCATGTCTAAGGAGAGTGAGAGTAGTGATATAAAGAGCCCTATGTGCCAAGGCACGGAAATTCAGGAAGATATTCTAACACTTTCTTCTCAAATGTGTCATGAAATTCAAGAACAAGGTGAAATGTCTTCAATAGAGTCGCCTTTGCCTCAGTTATGTGCCAGTAGCACAGAATTGTGCCTTGGAGGAAAAGCCAAAATGAAATCAAACAAGAATGACGAAGAGGAGGAACCTAAAGCCAGCATTTCCTACTCTAGAGAAGAAGCTGCAGTTGAGCCTCATGGCAACAGGGAGAGTGTGTGCATTATGTCAGACATGGCAGAGATAACTGAGACAGAAAATGAAGAATCTTACCCACCGAGCAGTAAAAAAGATGTTTCCAAAAGAAAACAACAGGAATCTTTGTTTGAAACAGCAGGGGATCCAGGCTCTTCTGCAAAAAGAGGGAGAGTGTTCCCTGAAGCTTCCTCAGACCAAGAGGAAACAGAAGTCGCCATCACTCCAATGCCATTAAATTTGGGACATGTACTTTTTGAGAGAGAAAATCAAGAAGAACAAGATAGGTTATCAGCATTAAATCTTTGCAAAGAGGGGGATGAAAAATAAATAGAGCCAACCCTGCCAAAAGGATCCCCAGATGAATAGCTGTTATCTGCTATGTCCTCATCTCCAGACAAACTGCTAAGTGGAGAGAATTCCCAAGATAGCAACTCCAAAAGACAAACTGATATAAAGCCTTCAAAACCCTAGAGAGGCTCAGAAAAGTAAAAATGGCAAGCTTCTTTGAAGATCCAGTTGTAACATCAAGTTAATGTTCATACATGAAAGATGCCAAGTTCTACTAGAGATTACTGCAAAGTGCTCACTCCTTACAGTTTACGTTATCAATAAAAATAACTCAAATGTTTCAGAGATAAAGTAATATATGGGTGAAGGGAGTGTTTCATAATCTGGTAAACGTTTGTTTTGTTGTGAAGCTTTCTTTTCTTCAAAATATGCATGTTTTATGGCCTTTTGTCATCTTTTTGTCCTGTAATAATTCAAGCAAGATTGTACTATGCTGACTAGTTAAGGAATCCAGGTTTAAAATCTAACTTTTCTTGCTACTTTCCATGTATTTGCAAAGCACTTGAAACGCATCTTACATAACAGTAAAGGAATCTAGTTACCATCTTCTAATTATTTTAAGCATTATAGCATTTTCTTTAATTTAAAGTGTGTTAGGATCAACATGAAATCAGAAAATCAGTTCTCTGGAAATTAGGATTAATTTGAAGAAAAGAAACTAGACTCTTGATGCAAAAGGAGTTAAGAGTTGTAGTAAGGCTGAATGGGGCAGGATGATAACTTGGAAGCACGAATGGAGCTGGTGATCAGAAATTGGTCCAGGATGGAGTAGGAGGTATAATTTGGTAAAGCATTCTCCCTCGTCCTTTCTTTGCTAAATGGCACAGAAAACATCTGGATTTTACAACTTTTCACACCATAGTATATGGTGTCAAAATCAAAATTAGTTACTAAATTACCTAAAATTTTTGAAATTCACATTACTCTTAGTTTGCTATTCCGGGGGAGGGCAGAGAGGGAATTTATGTAGAAGAGTTATATAACAATATCTTATGCTGTGGAAATCAGGCATAAATAACCATTTGTTTATTTTCTTATTATTTGTATTAGTATTGACTTTTATTTGTGTTTATGGAAATAAATAGAAAGTATTATATTTGGATTTTTCCCTATATTATGCCTCAAAGTAAAATCAGAAGGCAGAAATTTCATTTTGTGAAATTTAACTATTAACCTTTGTTTCATTAATATGAACAACTTTGAGCAAACAACAGTTTTAGAAGTATTTCTGTTGATGTTTAGTTATCCTTTTAAGGTTAAAAAAATGTTTTCGGGCTAGTTTTAGCTTAAATTTGTCAATATTTTTATACATGATTGAGATTTTTCTCCTCCAAATTCTGCAACTGAAATTCTGTTAATCTTTTCACACTTGAAGGCATCTGCTTCAAATATTTATTGGGTAATTATCGATATAATTTTGATGATAATTTAAAATTTAGTTTGCCCTTTTTCAAAAAAAAAAAAAAAGTGATTGATGCCTGAGTAGTGATTGTGCTGAAATTAAGTATTGTCAGTAACTAACCAAATTTGTCTAAAATCCATCTTCTCATCAAACTGATATTTTTCTAAGAGTAATTTTACATTACATTTTATGGTGGGCATTATGGAAATGCCTCAAATTACAAGTTATGTAATTTAATCTTCCTGAAATAGACCATAACCAAAAAGTGGGAAAATAGTGTTATGTATTTAGGATTTATATTATTTAACAACTTATTTTTCTGTGAAGAAGTCTTCCTGACTAAAGTTGGTTTTAAGATAAATTTTATTTTATTTTCATATTTCTTTTCCCTTCTTACTGTGTCTTGTAATTTTATTTTTTGGAACAAATATTACATATCAGATTGTTCTGGTTTTTTGTTTACATTTTTAAAAAGTTCATAATCTACTTTTAGTTGTCATTATATTATATTGTAAAATGTGGAATAATGAACTAGTCAGTTATATGGCATTTTCTGTGGCTCATTGTTGTGTAATGAGGATTTGTATTGAGCAAGTGGAAATACAAATTTAATAGTTTAGGAGTAATAACTAAAGTCATAATGACTGTATGTTTTAAAAAGTTCTCTTAATTTGAAAAATTACTTCATCTAAATTTTATGCTCATTTTTGACATGTTTTTCTCTTAGGTTGTTTTATTTAAACTGGTTGGATTTTGGAAGTTAAAATGATTGAAACTAGACACACATTTTAGTACTTATTATTTTGGAATAGGAATATTTGTGACATTTTAATAGACTAACAAAATCTCTTAGATCTTTTTTTTCAAATATTTTTTTTATTAATTTCAGAGAGAAATGGAGAGAAAGAGAGAGCTAGAAACACCAATGATGAGAGAGTCATTGATAGGCTGCCTCTTGCATGCCCCCTACTGGGGGTTAAGCCACAACCTGGGCATGTGCCCTGACAGAGAATCAAACTGTCACCTCCTGGTTTCTGGGTTGACACTAAACATCTGAGCCATGCTAGCTGAGCTATATTGTTTTAGTTGAATTTATTAGTATGACATTGGTTCAAAAAACCATACTGGTTTCAAGTATATAATTGAACAAAACAGGTTTTAAGATAAAATTTAATTTCTCCAATAATTTTTTTTTCTTTTCCTGGTAAGATACCCTCCAATGAGGTTTTATTTTTTGTTTTAATCTTTATTGTTGAAAGTATTACATAGGTCCTCCTTTAACCTCTTCCAGCCCACTCCTGTCCTCCCCCAGCCCAAAGTGCCTCACTATCCCATGCCAATAGCCTTTCTGAGAGTCCTTACATGTATGCCTTTTCATTAGAAACTACTGTTTTGTGTCATTAATAAGAATTCATTGCTAATTTTTCGTGTCATTTTTGTGGAAGGGATACAAAAGTGTTTAATTTTTTAAGGAGTATTAAGACTATATAGAAGTTGAAAATTAAAATATTAAAAATGAAACTGGACTGTTATGTATATTTGTAAAATAAAAATTACATTAAAAGTTCTACATAACAAAAAGTACCAGAAAGGAAAATTGGAAGACATGACAAACTGGTGAAGAGATATATCCAATTCAATACTGAGAGCTAATTCTCTTTATATAAAGTATCTGCCATCAGGGCTACCTCTGTCAAGACAGGTGGCCTGGTATGCTTTCTGTTCCTTGGAGAAATAGGGCCTGGTTATGCTTCTGCCCCTGATGAGTGGCCTGGAGATACTGGGTCACTGTTTTTCTTTAAGTCCTCCAGGCCCTTATGCACTCTGCTTTTCCTCTTTCCTCTTCAGGGTTTTCTAATGGCTGCCTATTTTATTATTTTTAGGCTTTTTACTTGTACTTAGTAGAGAGGATCTGGGAGAGATGAGTCTAGGCCATCATATTCCAAACAAAAAAGATGTTTTATTTTTAAACCTGATTTTTGTTTCTTTGTTTGTTTTGTTTTGTTATTTCGGAGAGAGAGAAAAAAGAGTGGGTAAGGCTTCCACTTCATGTTATTTCTAGAAATTGAAGTTATACATCCTTAAGTCCTTAGCCTAACATGTAAAATTCTCCCTAGGAATACCGTCCTATTTGTATTCTCTCCATAAATTTATTTCTTATTCCTCATAATGTAGACCATCTCTTCTGTAAAATCACTCTCATTAATACATCTAGCTCCCTTCTACCATCAGATGTTTATCAATGCCATTTCACTATTTGGAATGTTCTCGCTTTTTCTCAATTAATTTAGACCAATTTGGTTAAGGAACAAATTATAATCATCAATCATCATGAAATTCTAATTCACTGACTTTACTCTGTGCCCAATTCTTAGCATTTTAATCAACATTTCTTCTCACTAAATATGTAGTATTTTTCCTTGTGTACTATGCCATTCTTCATGAGCTATTTTTATATACCCAAACCACCTGGAAAAGTACATACATTGGGAGAAAAGCTTCTAGTATGAATTGCAAGGCAATTATTTTAACTATTTTGATGTAAGACACTTAAATACTTCTGTTTTTTATTTATGAATATTTCACAATCCCTTTCTGGATTTTATTTAGGTCTGGGAGTGCAGAGTGACTGGGGGTAGAAAACTTTAGATAATAGGTTTAATTCTGCATTTTGATTTCCATTAGTAGGCCTAAATTATGTGACCAGATGCTAAGAGAATAATCTAGAAACTCTCCCACCCTGTAAATGGATTATAGTGTGTGAAAAGACAGATGGTAAAGAGCAGCAAACATTTTCTGGAATGTTTCTGGCTTTGAAAATCCCTGAAGTTTAAAACCTGAATTTTATTTTATTTTATTTTATTTTTTTAAATCAATCTTTATTGTTCATATTATTACAAAGGTTCCTCATTTCTTCCCCCCTCCAACAGGTTCTCACCCCACTCCGCCCCCTCCCCATCGCCCATTGTCCTCATCCATAGGTGCACAGTTTATGTTCAGTCTCTTCCTCCCTCCCTTTCCCCGATAGTAAATCCCTTTTCAGATAGTAAATCAGTTACTTAGCATTTTCTCATATCAATAATACCTCCACATGCCCAATGATACACTTCCCACAAAAGACATTTCCAAATAGGTCAACTAGCCTCATCCAGGCCCCACCCAAGGCACTCACAGATCAACCCCCAGCCCTATACTAACTCAACACATCCATATCTAAGCCTTCATCACTTGATTCAGCAGACCCTCAAGTTCCTGAAAAAGTTTCCAGTCATGTCTGAGAGGCAGCCGTGGGACAGGGGCAGGCGAAGAGCAAGCTGTTCTGGGCCTGGCTTCTTCGGGCCTGGCCTCTGTTGCTCTGGTTCATTCCACAACCAGCTGCTCCGGGTCTGGTCACTGCCGCTCCCGACCTAGTTGCTCTGGACTTGGCTGCTGCTGCTCCGGGCCTGGCCACACCTGACCCGGCTGTTCCGGGCCCAGCCGCTCCTGGCCTGGCTGCTCTGAGCCTGGCCGCACCAGACCCAGCTGCTCCAGGCCTGGCCGCTCCCAGCCTGGCAACCGCTGCTCTGGGCCTGGCCAC